CTTTTATTTATTATACCGAGTAGTTGCATTAGCGCTTAAACTCCTGTCGTTAGCAAATTAAACAGAAGGGATGCGTGGTACGCCGAACTTTTCTCACGTACTTGCTACGCAGAATTTGGATATTGAAATAATGTGGCGGATTTGTAACACATGAAGTAGTACTAATGTTTCAAGAGTTTCACAAATGCCAGTAATGTAACTGCGTTCATGATCAGTGGCCTAGCAAGGTTCAGTGGCACGCGGGACAGGTACGCATACCCTGCTTCCACTGTCCCCCCCTAGCGTAGGTTAGGTAGCACAGAAGCATCTTGCGGTTTTAGCACTTTTCATGTACTTCTCACCTCTTTCACCAGGTCCATCATATGAGTTTAGTTATTGGTAGGTTAAGGATCGCGGACTTCTCCATATAAGTGATATAGGCCAAAGGATGTGTGCGTTGAGGACTGGGGACAGCTCAAAACGTCTTATCTCTTTGTCCCAGATCTTGCACTTAAGGATGAAGTGCTAATTTTTACAAATTTTTGAATTTTTATTGTTCAAAACTTGTTTTCCTCCGCCAACGGCACAATTTCAAAATATTGGCTGAAACAGACCTGACATGTGTACCTAGCAAGTTAAGCTCAAAAGCTTCTAGTCTGCCTAAGATATGCGTGACACACACACACATTCATACATACATTCGTACATTCAGGCGTCAAGGTAGAAAATACTTTTTCATCCCAGAGACCTTTAAAACGGATTTTATCCCCGAAATGTCGATCTCGTATTTTTGGACCTATTGCAACAGTACGTGTAGCCGAGGAAAGTGGCAAATTTACTTTTCTTTCAAGTGGCAAATTTACATATGCGTCATATTGAAAGTAAAGGACAGAGTTTTTCTGTCGAATACTTGAGGTTGATAGCCTTCCGGACCTTTCTTTCTTCGCTTCTTTATTTTTACCGTCTTTTTCTTCTTCGAACTACAGCTTCGTTCATGAAAAGCCTTCTTTAGTTTCATTGTTCTCTGAATCTTGCAGAATCTCTTTGTCGGGAGTGTTGCTTTATTTTAGGTCCCCGAGGGCCGTAACCATTTCGCAAAGTCGCCGCGCAATTTTCCAGGAAATTCACGTTCAGTCGTAAGACCCGTTCCAGATAGAGCATTAGACCGGCATTCAGAGGCCTTAAGGGAGTTTCCGTCTTTGAGTTGATGCTTAAGGGCGAGATTCTTGTATATTGTGCTCGATTTGATCAGCTTACAGTGGTCTTTCGTTGAATGGCGAATTGTTCCGTCTCTCCTTGTGGAAGTACCCGTTCTTTTAACACATCTCTTAGCTCAGTATTATAAACAATAAAATACGAGACACGGTGAAACACGACTGCTATATTACTAAACTAGTGATGCTACAACAGCACATATTTTCTCGCATTATTTCTAACTTTTGCGATTTTTAAAGATTCAAAACGTTCACGAAAGTGGGTCCTGCACCATTTTTTAAGTTTGTTTTGCCGAATCTGTGAAAAAAAGAAAGAAACAATTTTGAGCTGTTTTTGAGAATTTGTTTTTATAAATTGCATTTACTTCAAGTAGAAATTTTGCAAAAGCTACAGGTCTTTTCAAAAAATGTACGTGACCTTATTTCAAAGTCTTATTTTGTAGAACAGATTTGATTTAAGAACAAAACTCTATTAATATTGTTATTTTGCAATTTTAAAAATTCAGTGCTGAAAATGGGTCCAGCATTAGAGCAAAATGCAGAGCCACGACCGTAAACGAAAACAGCTGAGCGGAGTCGAGCTATCGGAGAGCTAGTGCTCTCCAATGCGTTGGTAATTTTGCGTTGGGCAGACTCAAAGATGTCTTATGTTAACGCGAAGGCCGCAGGCTCGAGTCTCGTCCTCTATTTGGACTGGCGTAGTGACGCGTCTCAATCACGCGGGAAAGCGCGTCGGCCGCGCACGCCGGCCGCGCCGCGAAGCTTCGCGCCGTGGAAGTCCGCTCGGGTCGCGGGCCGGCTCTGCTATCTTCGTTTGCATTCGGGGCTGCTCATTTTGCTCTCACGAGACACAAGTCTTCAGACGTGCGTGTGACGCATTCGCGCTCGAATAACAACTGTCACTGGCCCGGAACTTGTGGTCATATCACATTGTAGTAAGATAGAAGTAAAAGTTCGTTGGCCGGCCGTAGCTGATAGTTAAGGATGCGTTTGACGCGGGGGCAACTGTTTTAGAGTATTTACTCAATAATTAGATTTGTACTCGAATGTTTGGATGGCAGAAGGTTATTTTAGTCATAAAATCGATTCTCTATTACATTTAACTTAAAATCTAACATTATAAAGAGTTCTTACTTGTGAATCTATTTTACCTTTACGTTTGTTAACCTCTGTTTGGTCACTGATTTCAAAGTAAAACACATTATCCAAATAGTCCATTATTACTAAAACAGTAGTATCCTCCAACAATCGTCCCTCGAAAATGTAATTCTGTAAATTTAGACTATAACACTACCATTGCAAACATATCTTTAGAGTTTTCTCCAGGCTTTATTCGCTTCAATTCGCTCTTTATAACTTTCCCTATATATCAATGTTTCTCTCCATATCCCAGATTTGCCTTCTATCTCAGACTCCTTTTTTGTGCAAAATTATGTGTGGGTCTTAGTTTATACAAATATAAATAAATGGTAATTAGTGTTCGATAGATTTGGCTAATTGAACTAACATTTTCCCCCTGTTTTATCTCCATAGGATTTTAATAACCTTAGGAAATTAGTTGGTCGCTCATGCGTCATCGGATTCCAATTTAAAATTAATTCTCAAATAAGATGTCCTTTTTGTCGGATTTTCATAATTGTGCATTGTCTGCACTCCAGTCATTAGAGTGTCAGAAGAGATTTTTCAGTCCAGTCAGAAGAGATTTTTAGCTATCAAAACGGACCTTGCACATTCGATGCACTTCGAACTTAAAGCATTTCAGTTATTCACTATTCTTAGCCAATCGTGACCCCCATAATATGCGAATTAAGTGTGCATTATTTGTTAATGAACTTCGTGCTGTCGAAATTAATTCAGTCGATTCCTTTTGTAAAACTCATCAGAACATTGGCGAGAGAATGGGCTGCAAAATGAGAAAAGTCAGAAACGTTAGTGTGAAGTGTTCGCCTTAAAAAAAGTGGGACAGGAAAATAAGTTAAGAAGACAGTAGTTGCTTAGTTGGAGGGTACCACAATCCTACATTCTGGAACATTCTTCTATTAAGTAATGTTTTTACTCAATTAGCTGACGAGGTAATTCTGTAGGGTTTGTCTCTACAACGTTCAATCTTGTTAAACTGATTTTGATTATTGAAAAAATATATACTATTTTCAACTCAGAGGTGATATGCTCCTACATTGTTTAAAGTTGAAACATTTCTTGGCGTATTCTAGCTATTAAGAATTTACGTCGCTCGCCAAACTCATTTACGTGGCATAACTTCCGAATGGACTAGTCTTTATAATTTTATCTCTTTCGTAAGAGGAGAAAGTTTTGTAATCGTGCGTCGGATATCGGAGATTTTTCGACAAATCAATTCTTATTCCCAGACCTTGGTAACGAAAAAGTGGCTTGCGTAGTATAGTTACTTTCTCGCTTTCTGCTTGTTCAATATAGAGAACGTATTGTAATGCTGTGGAAAAACGACCGGCGATTTATCGTCAGAAAAACTCTTCTTGTCGTGCCATAGTAACGAAATATTTCATAAATCATTTAATGGATTAAATTACTTCCTCCAACACGTTGTGCAGTCAGAATCCATGTTTTGTAGATCCTTGACACCGAAAAATTGATTGATGGCAACATGTTCGTTGACCGTCTGTCGTTCTGTCCGTTCGTTTGTGGTCAATGCTAGCACCTAAACCGTTCAGATGAATTTCTCCAAAATTCGTATTCTCCGATCGATTTGAAGACACTTGGGGCCGTGCGAGTTTGAAGCTAATACTTTGATTTTAGGGAGTACTCTACATGATGCCGCAACACTTTGAAAATTTTTCTAAAAAATGGCTCTAAATGTTTGTATTAAATTTTGTCTTCGGTTGTCGTAAAGAACTCTGACAAATGGCCAAGGGATCATTTTCGATGAAATCCCTAATTTTTCGAAAACTACAAAAATTCAATTTTTTCGGCGCCTTCCTACATCTACAATATTAAAGATATAATTTTCCCCCTTTGAAATATGTTGTCCAAAAAAATCTTGAAATAAAGTCATGTAGAGTTTTTGAACAATATGAATAGTTTTCGTGTCAATTTGCGTGAAGTGTAGGCAATTTTTAAAAACTTTTAAACAACTATTATTTCAAAAACGATTCCAAGTTTTTCTTTAAAATTTTTCCTCATATGTATCAAAGGACGGCAGAAAAGTGATGCTAGTCCCATTTTCGGCAAACTCTCTATACTTTTGGAAATAGCAAAACAATGACGTGCTTAAGTACAATATTGAAGATAGAGATTCTGGGCTTAAATGCGTTCTAAAAAATCAGCTATTTAAAATGAAAATGTAACATTTTTTTAGGCGCAGTTTTTACCAAATTTCTGCTTTAAGTTAATTCAATTTATAGGTCAAAGATTTTCTTGAAAATGGTCTCAATTTTTTCTTAAATATAATTTTCAACGGAGAAGCTTAAAAAACGCGCATTTTCATTGACCATTATGAAATTTCGAAAATGGCAAAAGTTTGAAATAATGCGAGAAAATGTGCAATTGTAGCACCAGTAGTTATTTAAAAGCTTGCAATGATTACTAGAGAGCTGGTAGTTATGGTTTTATAACCCAATTATATAGTGGACTATTTTGCGATTTTTAGCAAAAATCTACCTTTAGCTGTCTTCTGTGTTCTATGTTTTGCTATGTTCTATGTGCTGGAATTGCCTCATCCTCATGAGTCACATACAATAAACTTCACTTGAAATCCCTTGTGGATTATTCTGCGATTCTGATTTATTTCAACGGTTTAAAAATTTGCAATACTTTCAATTTTCTTTTTACTTGTTCGATAATGTGTTCTTCGGCCTTGTTTCTCTGCGACTTTGTTTTCTTGTGGCAGCTTCATAATGCTCGAGATTACCGATAATCTTCTATCCTATTCATATTTCGGAGCAGGGCGCCGGGCGAGCGTCCTCCCCAGCCCGCAGGCTTTTCTCCGCAGATGCAAGTGGTGCGCAACGTATCCGAGAAAAACGTTTGTTTGCGGGGTCCCCTCGTCGACGCCTGAGGCAGAAGAACGCGCGGCGATAAAAAGAAACGGGGCCTGCGGCGAAGTAGGTAAACAAAACGGCGGCGTCCGCGCGTCGGCGTTTGAGAAAGTGGGTCAGGAGGGTGCGGATCGGAGCCCCGCGATTTGCCATCGCGGCCGCCGCCTTCCCGCGCGGGCGTCGGGTGCCGTTGCCGGTGCCCTTTGGCCCCCGCGCGTGCATCACGCTGCCTGCGTTCGCCGGCACTCGGGCCGATTGGTTCGCGGTCGGTGCGTGCGCTTCGACGGACTCCGCCCTGAGCACCGAGACCGAGCACGCGCCTGCCGATCGCCTTCGCACTGGCCGCCCCCGGCGCGGGAGCCCCCGCGCGCTGCACTGGGGATGACGGGGACGGACGAGCTAATGCGCTCGCCGCGCCGTGACACGCGTGCGGTTCCGTGGAGATGCTGATCCTCCTCGTCGGTTAGTGAATTGAGCCGCGCACCGTCGATCGCTGACGTCTGTCGATTGTTTTACGGAGGCAACTGATTTGAACTTCACAGTTTACGAACATTTTACTTTTTGACTTCTCTCTCACGTTGTTAATATTTTACATTGTTGCGTTTATGACTGCGTGTGCTTCTAATGATGTCGTATGAAGTTTCTCGAAAACTCAAAACTTATCCGTGGAAAATGAACTCGAAATTCCCCATTCGGAGAAACGCTCAAACGACCTTTTCTCGAAAAAGGCTCCAAATTTTGTCTTCAAACTTTTTGTACGGATAGTGCTAAATGCACTGTTTAAAATTACATAAAAGGCATTTTGCTGTATACTTTGTTGCTTTTTAAAAAATTACGCAAATGTATTGTTTTAATATCTCCCACGCCGTTAAAACATTTTCTGCGATTTGTATTACGTTTGTGAGAGGAAGTGCTTCTTATGACTTCCAATGAAAACAAAAGTTTTCTGTGAAAAAGAGCTTCATATTTCGCAAATTTACAAGAACGTTTAATCGACATTTTCTTAATAACGACTCCCAACTTTTTCAACGAGAATTTCACCTTAGAACAAGGTTTTACTCGTTTTTTTAAATTCCAAAAGTAATATTTTCGTTGTACCATTAGAAAAACGAAAAAATCAAGAAATTTCAAAAAAATATACTTTGGCCGGCAATAAGTGGCAGCTGGCAAGAGGATGGGACAAGACCGAAAAGCTAGCCGAGGCTATTCTGTAGCACCCCTATTTATTTCTCGCTTAATAAGTCCCTGTACGATGGGGACACGACAGCTTGTTGTATCTTCGAGAGTCTGAAGCGATTTTATCTGCAGAGCCTGCGCGTTCCTGATGCATAATTCCAGTACAATTTTTAGTTTATTGCAAGTTTTTTCCTCGTTTTTGTAAAATAGAGATAGTTTCGTATTTCCGCAGAAGATCGATCCTCATTTTGAAGGAAATATTTTTTGACAGGTCCCTTGGACAGAAAAATTATGCTATTACGAAATGATCGTCTTTTAGTTTTTCTGTTCATCCGTGCGTTTGTCTGATGAGTTCTTCCCGTTGTATGGTCGAGATAAGTGACCACATTTTGCTTCCGCTTAACAGCTTCACAACTGGCGGTATTGCGTCCATATTCCTTTGAAGGCATTTTAGCCTAGTCAAATTAGACCCAAAACTGGTGGTCAAAGGGAATAAATCCCGGATGATTGCTCTTCGGTACCTACCACATCTTAGTATTACTAAAAATTCTGAAGTGTGAGGATGAGCCAGGGGTGGGGGCGTCAAAATTGTTTTCCTACATTTTTTGCATATTCCTTCATAACTATCAATCTTACTAAACAATAATGTTCTATACAAAATTAAAGTAAACAAAATTTCCAACAAAAAAGTTCATGTAAGACATTGTTGTAAAATTAACCCTTTAAATATTACAGGCTCGAAAAGTTCCTCTTTATATTTACGACAATGCCCCTTTTTATATTTCTCCTGTATCAAAATCATGTTATATTATGTTTAATACACATAAGTAATTTTATTTTTGTTCACTATTGATCAACAAAATGCATTTGCATATGAACATTTTACATATTATCAAATCGTATTTTGTACATACGAGTATCCGAGGTCATTGCGTCTGAGATTACTTCGGGTATGAAACCTGATAATCAGTCATTTATTTGATAAGGATTGGGTACAAATATTTGGTAAAGAATGGTATACACGTCAGTATATAAATTACATTAAAATATGAGTGCAAAGATGTTTATAGAATAATCTCGTTTACGGCGTATATTGATGGACAAGTAAAACTCAGTCGCAACGACGAACGACACTCAATTTTTGACGATTTGTCTAATTTTACTGGCGCATTTCTCACACGATGTCAGATGGACGGAACACTTCGAATGACGGAACAGATAACAGTTCGGTTCCCTACCAGAAGATGTGGATGCGTGGAATGGCATTTGTCTCCAATCGTGGACCGGGAGAGCTCTAATCGTGACGGAGAGACGTAGTTTAAATGCTTACAACGTAAGATTTTTGGAGTCTACCCCACTACTCTGTAAATGGAAAGGTAACATATGCTTACAAGTACTACATCAATTTGCTGCAGTCCAAGTGAAATAATGGTACATACGAATAATTGTCAGAACTACAAAGTTTTGGAACGTTGTAGCTTATTCCGTGTATAAGAAGATGAATGTGAAAAATGTTAGGCGTTGCCAAATTGTTGCTTTGGTGATCTACTTTAAGAGTTTACACATTTGCAATGGAGAAACAATTTCTAAGGAAAGAATTTTCGTAGTTAACTAATTTCTCAAAGATGCAGTTTTGACAAACAGTTTTTATAATTTTTGACCACATAAGCTTCATATTTACATTATTTATGTACTTGTTTTTGTTGCCTCATAGCGTGGTTAAATGCTTGGGGACCTGAATTAAAAGTTTCTTGAATGCGTTGATTAAACATTCTCTTAATATTTCCTTCGTAATTCCATTAACTGCAGCGTTTTCATTATTGTGCAAAGTACAAAGTTCGTTCTTTAGTTCAATTTCGTGAATGCTCTGGGTCCGCCAAATTAATGCAGCTATCGTTCTCTACGTCTCAATGTTTGCAACTAATTGTGAAATTTATTTGTTGGTGCTTGCCGTCGTTTGTTCTTCAACTTTTGCATTCATTCTGATCAAATGACACGTTTCCCCGAAATTGGCATTTACCCTGTTAACGATGTTGTGCAAAACTCGGTAATGACTAAAATTAATGGCAGTGCCGAAACGTACTACTTGCTGCAGGTCGATATTTCAAAAGCGCTTATTATATCCGCGCAGATTAGGCATCATCTCCGCGATGTAGAATTAGCGTATTTTTTAAACCAATATATATATATATATATATATATATATATATATATATATATATATATGACGTGTTTAGCTCAGGATCGTTTATAAATGACGTTCACAAGCTTATGAGGGTGGAGGTTTCGAAAAGTCGGACTCTAATAGTGAGGATTATCTGAGGGGCAACCTATTTTTTCATTATCTTAAAATAATTTTATTAAATCCTTTTTTAAACTCTGATTTAAACATTGATTTTTAAACGTAGTATAATAAAATTTGTTCATTTTTTGCCTTGTGTCTATATTCTAAGCACATAATTCTGTGTTACTTTGTATCATACCTTACTCTAACAAATCACAAAATACACAGAATTATTTAGTTGTGTACTCAGTATTTTGTTTTAATACTAATAAAAAAGAGTATGGTATTAAGAACAAACGTCTGGTCGAAGAAGGAGGCGTTGCTGGAGTAAGTGCAAGTGAAAAATGCTTGAACTTAAGGGGCGTGTTTTGTGCACCCCTTAAAATGACACGAAAGTGCTCGTTTACCGTCAGAGCGATCAGCGCTAGGTGTATGGCAGTGGGGAACCTGTACCAAACTAAGAACGGAACCAAGAGATGAATAATATTCATTTATAACTCATATATTAAATAAAGCGGTAATTATTATATACAATTTTCTTACGAAGACATTTTGCTAACACATCAAGATAATTACTTTTTGTATTACATTTTTTGCAAACATTCAGTATTTGAATGAACATTTTCCTCTACAGTATTAAAATATCTGCACTTTTACTGCGAAGCCCTCTCAGTACATGCCAAAATACATCCTAGCATGTGAATTTGCTTTAGTAAAAAGCTGATAAAAATCCCTCTGTGAAGAAATAAAACCGCTCTGTAAGGTTCCAAATTGTGTTGGTGGTTCGGACGCTTCATAACTGTGCAGACGTTAGGCGCTTACCCCTTTCTTACGATTTGAACCAGTAATGTTCACTCTACTCTCCGCTAGAAGCTGACTTCGCGCTCTCCTATTGGATGAAGGCCGAATAGGGAGTAATGCTACACAGCGAAAGCTTCGAATGCCAAGTGTACCCCTATGGTGATTCGGTAACTTTTAACAAGTTTAATATGTACGCATTGTTTTTATTAATACGATACTGTTCCAACATCAGAAAATGAAACTGAACTCATCAATAACCATTGCAAATTGAAATATAAGTTAATTTAAATGAAAAGACTAGAAACACAATTGAAACTATTTCCATACAATTGTTTTTAATGATTATTTATCAAAACATGCAATAGATATTCGCTTAAACTTCCGTTGTGTATTGCTAACGAAGACAAGCGTCAATAGATGCGGTATCCATGACGCACCTCTTTGCTGGAAGTGTTCCCGATTCATTAAATTATTCATATTTTTTGCGGACGTTCTTTCCTTATGTAATCACGCTAGATTGATATTGTAATTTTAGATTAATGATTTAATTATTATTTACATTGAAATGTTTATCATGATTTTATGAATTATTTATTA